ACAAGCGGGACTGACCTAGGGTGAATTTTAAATAGGGAATAATTTTTTAAAGATTTTAATAATGACACAGCCATAAATATATTTGGTTTTTAATTGGTTTTATAGGGGAAATGTTTTTTGTGTTGTTTTTTAATATGCTGTGAGCCGCCCTGAGTCCCGTGGGGAGAAGGGCGGCATAGAAGTTAGTGAAATAAATAAAATAAATAAATAAATAAATGTATCAGTTCGATACTAGATACTTCATTCTTTTTAGACTTAGATTTATTCTTGAAACTTTAATGAACACCTCACCATGTATTTTATGGATTAGAATGTTTTTATTTAAGAATTAATTTCTAGCATCTTCTATTTATACACATAAGAACAGGGGTATAAAAATAGTTCAAATACTTTTTCTTTTAAAAATCTGAATGCTTAACTGTTGCATTGAATTGAATTCAAATATAAAGCACTCTGTCTTGCGGTAAAATGTTAATTCAGTTCCTGAGTTATCTAGATAGCTCCCAAGCTGTTGACATTAAGAGGGCTACTGAAGATTTGGCTGTATCTCCCAGACTTTGGGATAGGTTGATGGTGTAACTCATTATATGGCTTCTTTGTTCATATGTCTTCATGGTGTTTATTTTTGTATTGTTCTCATCTTTTTAATTGTAAGCTGTCCAAAGAGTCAGGCAGTCTTTAAACTGTTAAATGAATGAATGAATGAATCAATCAATCAAATCCCTTTAGCTTGATAATAAATCTTAAAAGAGTGTGGAACCATGGCTCCTTAGAGGAAAAGGTTACAAAGAATGCAGTAAAGAACAGGATCCAACCTAACTTACTCTCATAAAAGAGCTTTGTAACTCATGTAGTTTCTGGCTTTTCTGTTAGTCTTGGCCCAACTCTGCTAGAATCAGATTTTAAAGCCAAAATAAAATGCTGCTCCTTTTTACTGCTTTTATTGTTTTGTGAGCTGTCCAGAAATGTGGTTCCTAATGTGTGTGTGTGTGGGGGGGTATGTACTGTATGTATGTATGTAACAGGACAAACAGGAAATCCTAGCAGCAACAGATCTTATACATACTGTTTTAAGATATTTGAGCATTGTTGGTTACCCTTAAATAGGCAAACATCTGAGATACAGTGAAACTTTTTGGGGTTTTTTTGGAAAGGAACATTTTTGGCTTCCTGTATTCCTGCCAGCATGATGTAAGATATCATCAATATGTTGACGATATCTGGCTTTACATCTTCCACCCAAGCGATACCAGAGATTCTGTCTTGGTGTCTGGAGGTTGTGGGGATTGGATGGGGAAGAACTGGCTTTAAATCAATCCTAGCAACACTGAGTGGTTTTGGGTTTTACAGCCACTTCCTTCCAAGGATTTTCCATCTTTAGTTCTGTTTGGGGGCCACACTACCTCAAGCAGAAACACTGCACAATTTGGGGGTCCACCTGGACTCCAAGCTCCTGTTCAATGAAAAGGCAGCAGCTGGGGGGGGCGCTTTCCACAATTTTGTGTTTCTGCCAATTCGACCCTTTCTTAGACAGCAAGGCCCTTCTCACAGCAATTCATGCCTTAGTCACGTCCCAAATGGACTTCTGCCATATACTTTACATGAAGCTACCCTTGAACAGAATCCAGAAGTTACAGCTAGTAGGTAACAACTCAGCAGTTATGTGCATTCCTTAATGTACATTACACCTTTGTTCTGTGAACTGCATTGGCTGTATGTTTCTGATGCTGGTTGTAAGCTTCATGGCTTAATCCAGGTATATGAGACACTGCCTCTCAGGAGAGATTGACCATTAGATCCAAAAGGAGATGAATTCTCTGGTTTTGATTTTTAAGGAGTGCCAATTGATGGGGGGCAGGAAAAGAACTCTTTCTGTTGTGGTGCCCACATTTTGAAATATCATTTCCACTGGCCCTGATCCTGTTGTCCTTTTGCAACAGTTACAGACATGGTTTTGTCACGGGGCATGGGAATCAGCGGGTGTGGGTGAGTCTGTGCAATGATTGTGCTGATTTGTTATTGGTGAATTTGATTTTAGCCCAACATGTTGTTATTTCTGGTTTTTATGCTGTTTTAAATATTGTTAACTGCCAAGTTCTGACTCTGTTAGAGCAAGGAAGAAAACAAAGGATGTATGACACAACTAAACCATAGTTCCACTATTAAACACCCAATGTTATATAATTAACCAGAAGTCATATTGTGCAAATCACAGATTAATATGATGTCCAAAGTGGCCTATAAATATGAGTGTTGAAATAATCATCATATTCCTAAAATAAGGACACATCACAATAAACCAGAGTAATTTTAATGCTACTACAATATTTCTGAAACTTACAAATCTTTATTATTCCACTAACCAAAAATAGTGATATTCTATAGAAAAATATAATTCTGAGTTTTGTCTATTAATTTTGCTTCAAGCAAATTCATTACATTTACAGTCAAAGACTTTGTATACTTATCAACAGGCACACCTCATTTGCTTTTAAAAAACTTTTGTTCCTATGTAAGCATGTACAGAATTACAGCTTCAAAGCCGAAGTACATGGTATGCTGCATGATTCTTTTTTTTTTTTCAAAACTGAGGAAAGAGAATTCAAATACCATTTTATTAGTCACATCTCTATTTGTTTTCATGACCAGCCCAGACAACTGTCCACTGTCACTTGGGGATGAAACAGAGAAATACCTATTATTTATTTTCTTATTCTAATTATAATGCAATATGAGTCTATTAGAAGCTGGGTACTAATACTGGGCCCCTCCATGGATTACTGCCTTGTCATGGCAAAGGGGCTTGCGTAATTCAATGAAGCTATGAGCTATGCCATGCAGGGCCACCCAAGACGGACAGGTCA